CCATTGTGCTGCCTGCCTACCACCCTCATCTCTGTGAATCTCCATTTCCACTCAGCCCCCTGTCCGAAATGATTAGAGGCGTGATATTTCTAAGAGGATAGTGTGTTGAAATGCCAATACAATGAAAATGCTGGTTCCTCAGTTCATAAGAAATGAATTGATGGTCACACACATCAACATTTGCAGTAAAGAAATGCCGGCATGTACAACATAACCTTAAAAGAGCAGAAGTCTAATCCTTAACATGTAATACTTTAAGGATAGCTTCAAATGTTATCTGAAACTATATATTTTTATTTTAAAAGTGGGAGGAAGCACACTACCACTAAACCCAATGGCCAAAATCTTGTTGCTTACCACAGTAAGTTGCCCATTGAATCAGCACAGATTTTGTGATTGACTCCTTCATAAGTTCCACTGATTCAAGTGGGCCTACTCTAACTGCAACTAACATAATAAGTCATAACTACTGTAGATCGAATCCATATGAATTAACAGAGCAGTTGACTCACCAAATCCCCACTGATTCAATTGGTTTACTCTAGTGTAATTTACTAAGCTAAACAACAGGATTTTGGCCAATAAGTTAAATAGCTATTGTAAATGACAAGTGACACACCAAAACAATAAAGTGAATAATGCCTTCTAAAGCATCCATTTGACAATGCAAAATTAGGCACAGCAAAAAAGGAGCTTTGAGGTGTATATTATAGAGCAGGGGTCCCTAACCCCGCCCATCCATGGCCCAATGTCAGTCCGTGGCCATGGCAGGACCAGGCCACAGAGAAAGATCTCCTGCCCTCCGCACACACTCCCCCCACGCACCCCACTCACATGCACGGGTGCCCCGCCCACCTGTCAGCATGCCTCACCCACCTGTGAATGCACGCAAGCAGCCCTCCGCCCACCTGTGAGTGCACCCTGCTCACCCACGAGCATGGTGGGTGGTCTGCTCCCTCTGCTCATGGACCCCCCCCCAACCAGTCCGCAGTTCAAAAAAGGTTGGGGACCACTGTTATAGAGAAACAGTTTTCAAATGTTTTTTGCTGAATGAATGGGACCAAGAATAAGTAAAGTTTAGAACAGAACAAATTGTAACCTTTTTGATGGAGGGAAGCTCATATTGAGGGATAGTCGATCTATGAAGGGGGAGGTACATAGTCACTGGCAATTGCTACATTGTTGAAGAGAAAAACTACACAGCCAACTCTTCTGATGATGGCTGAATCCTTTCATCATGATAGCAAGAGCAAAACGGTTGCAGCTACAAATACAGTAATGCTGGTAGTGGCAATCCAATCTCAGCCCAACCACAGTCAAGACTTTTGAAATTATATTTATGCAAGAAAAGTAGAATTATATAAAATAAAATATTCTGAATATAATTTGTCATCATAGATAAATATTTTCTTTAACTTTGGCCATAGGAGCTGAATATTCTGATGTCAAATACAACGTGGGGGTGGGTGGGCATTATATGCATGCTTACTTCCCACACCCACACCCATTTAAAGGGGGGGGAAATGACACTGACCCAAAATGCTATGGGAATGAGATGGTGGGATGGGGCTGCAAATAGACATTCTACCCCAGGTCTCTAAGCATCTCAATGAGACAAGTAAATCAGGGCTGATTTGTTCCACTAATTTCAATGTGTCTTCTCTGCTTTACTAACTTTGGATTGATCCATTTTAAGTACAGGTTTACAGTTCAGCAGGACTCCATTTGGGTTTTCCATCTCTGTCTAGGCCCCACACTTTCTATCCTCATCGGATTAATTTTGTCAGATACTAAGCATTAAAATTATATGTCTGATGGGAGAAAAGGATAATCTGCCAAGTATGTTTTACATTATGTTTTTGACTTGAAGAACCTCTTTTTCGACTAAACTAAGATTGCACAAAATATCAGCTCCTAGTGTTTAAGAAGTTGCTTGACAATTATGTTATATAGTAAATGTTCCTAGCTGCAAGATATATAAGTGCAAAATATACTGGATATGTGTGTGTGTGTGTACATATAGTGCACAAGTTCATATTTTATATTTTCCCACCATAACCATTATTCAATTCTAACTGGCTTCTTTTTCACCTTTAAAGGTTCCCCTTGACATTTTTAAATCCAGTCGTGTTCGACTCTAGGGGGCGGTGCTCATCCCGTTTTTCAAGCTGTAGAGCAAGCGCTTGTCCGAAGACAGTTTCCATTGTCACGTGGCCAGCATGACTATGGAATGCCGTTTTACCTTCCCACTGAGGTGGTACCTATTTATCTACTCGCATTTGCATGATTTTGAACTGCTAGGTTGGCGAGGAGCTGAGACAAAGCTCACTCCGTCGGGTGGATTCAATCTTACGACTGCTGGTCTTCTGACCCTGCAGCACAGGCTTCTGCGATTTAGCCCACAGCGCGTTCCCCTTTTTCACCTTTACCTTCATATCTTACTATAATTTTTTTCTTCACCCATTCTCAGAACAATTTACTAGAAGACTATACGAAATTAAAATTAAAGCAATTCAAGTATTCAAGTACAATTAGTTTTAAAAAACTTTAAACAATAAAAAGCAAAATTCAAAGCACATTGATAAGAAAAATAAAGCCATCATAATATAAAACAGGGTATTGTTTTAAAAAATTTGATGTACGTACGCAGGACAGTAATGGCAGACATAGAAATAATTATATATGTCATGTGAACACTCAGCTACTGCACAACCAAGCAGGAAAGAGCTATACCAAACCACCTGTAAATAAGAAAATGAATAAATCAAATTAAAATTCTCCACAGCGAAGTCTGAGGAGAGATAGTAGGAGATCCCCACGGGGTGGAGAAATATTGCCAAAGTGGGATTATCCCTCACCCCCAGGTCCCTTTTCCTATCTAACCAAGCCTGTTCAGACCAGGGGGAAGTGAAACGAAGGTGGAGGGCTCAGGGGTCTCCTACCAACACTCCTCAGACTGAAGAAGCTACTTGGATGAGTAGACAAATGTTTCAACCTAACAAGAAAGAAGTCCAGGTGCCATGACTCAACTTCCAGATAACCACACCTGGAGGACTAAGAATCTTCACAAATATCTCCACAGTGGAAAATATACAGGAATGAAAATTGGTTCCTTTCTGTGTCCATATGTCTATGTGGGTATTTTACTAAGTTAGTGGTTTATTCCAGCGCTGCACAATATGTGCCCTCCTGTTGTCACTGAAGGGCAATTTCCATCAGCCACAACCTGCAAGATGGGTTGTAGGTATTGTAACCCCACAAGATTTGGAGGGCCACCGATTCCCTACACGGGTTTATAACTTACATTTGCCCACGTTGGCCATTATTTCTTTCTAACCACCCTATTTTTAGCCTGCACCTTCACCTTCATATCTTATATTTCAAATTTTACTACTCAGCTATATTTTTTTTGCTTTTCTGTATCTTGTTTTGCTCACATACATTTTTCTTCCCCCTTCTTCAGCAAATATATTCAGCTTATCAGATCCACTGCAGCTACTTTTTGTTTTTAACCCTGATTCTCCAGGATTTCATCTCCCAGAATAGCAGGGATGCCGACCAGTCATGGACCCAGAGTCTCAAGCCCAAATGTGAGTCTTCAGCCCCAAGTCCTGAGTCCGAAGCCTTGAGTCTAAGTTATACTGTTTTCTTTCACTATCCAGTTATTCTGGAAATCACTGTTTTATGGCACCTGTACTGCTTCTTCTTTGCATGATTTTAAAAAGCCCTTAAGAAAACACATCCTTTCTCCAAGCTTTCTGACCACTAATCTCTGCCTCTGTCCTTTTCCTTCTCCTTTCCTTTTCTCATGACTTGACAATTCAGGTATGTATGCCTGTCAACGTAAGTTATTCCTTAATTCAGTTATTGCATAACATCTTACTCTGAAAGGACATTTATTTCTCTGTTGGTTGTGCTACTGTTACTGCAAGATTGTCTTCACTCACTTGGCATCTGTATGTGCTGCTTTCCATGCTATTTGGTTACTTGTACAATTGCAACAGTTTTGCCCTTTTGCTGGAAAACCTAGCCATTGTGTAACTGTTCAGATTGTCTCAGTACTAGAGCAATCCTTTCCCTTGGGAACAGTAGGACAGCCGATTACAGATTGTGTGGATTCCTTCATTGCTGCCCTTCCTAGTCTCAGTCTTCTGACTTTTTGGCTGCGGTCTCCATTTAGATCGATGATTGAATCAACATACCGGATATGAAATCTGTAACTATTTCAATTTCTTCATCGTTGTTGTTAAAGTTGTGTAGTTCTTCTGTAGTCATGATTTTATTCATTTATTTTAAATATTTCTCTCTCGCCCTTCTCCCCAAAAGGGATCCATTTTTGTCTTCTTAATGTTCAACTGCAGCCCTGCTTTGATAATTTTTCTTTCACTTTCATTTGAAGTTTTCAAGATATTGCTGCTTTCTGCTAGTAAGATGGTGTCAGATGCATATATTAAATTAGTGATGTTTCTTCCACAAATTTCCACTCCTCTTTTCATACTATCCCATACATTACCTGACTGCAGCTTTTCCTTTCATTTATATCCTATATCTCCAACATTTCTTTTTCTATTTATTTTTCTACTGTTTCGAATGTCTTTTTTATGTTGGTTTTGTTACTGTCTTTTTGTGTGGTATCTGATCTTTTTAATTATTTGAATACTTCGTGGTTTTAGATTTAAATATTGCATTTTCAGGATGTATGCCACCTTAATAAGAAAGGTGGGGTATGTATGTATGTATGTATGTATGTATGTATGTATGTATGTATGTATGTATGTATGTATGTATGAAGACAGACAGACAGACAGACAGACAGACAGACAGACAGACAGACAGACAGACAGACAGACAGACAGACAGACAGACAATTTTGGTTGTTGTGGGTTTTCCGGGCTGTTTGGCTGTGTTCTTAAGGTTTTTCTTCCTAACATTTCGCCAGTCTGTGTGGCCGGCATCCTCAGAGGACAGGAATCAGAACTTTGCTCTGTTGCAGTTTGTTGGATAGTTGAGTATTTATAGCTGTGGGATCAGCTTTTGTCCTTTTCAGGAGATTGAGTGATTATGGTGATCAGCATGTTTTTGTTGTGAGTATATTGTGATAATCGGGAGAGATAATCTGTAACTGTGATTGATGGGTGTTGTTTGCTGGTCTTTTGTGTGCAGTGATCACTGGTCCTTGTGGCTGGGTGAAGTTCATTGCAGGCTGTAATTTTCAGTGCTGGGAGCCAGGCTTTGTTGAGTACAATACAGCACGGTATGTTACATATATTAAACCAACTTTTATTTTATCTACCCTCAAAATCAAATTATTAGATGAAAATATATAATCTCTTCTAGAGTAACTCTTCTGTATGGAGGAAAAGAATGTGTTTGCCCTTTTAACCTCCTTTCATAACTTTCCAAACTGCAGTGTGCAGTTTCAATATTACCTTTATATCTGTGCATATCAGCCAGTAGATATTCTTTCATCTTTAATCTACTTGCTCCATTAGAAACACTGCTTTTATAATTATGGCTTTCTCTTCCCCACCAGTATTTAAGTGTCCTATGAAAGTGGCTAGAGACTGCCTAGTGAAGTATAGCATGTGCTATTCCACTTCTTCCACATACCTGAGTATAATGTCCAACTTGTTCACCCGTATGTGATGGCCCCACTCCGAAGATGAAATATTCAAATTCATTAAACCATGCTTGAATTGCATCTGACCATGATTTAGGGACACTTGAATAAAATAGATTTTCACCACATGACATGCCACCTGAAAATGAGACAGAAGAAATTCCATAGAATAGCATCAGAAATACCTCACATCATTCACATTTGAAATCCTTAAACATATCAGTTTCTATTTACTTAGAATCTAATTTTCAGCTGTATATGTGTCAAGTGATATATCGGAATGCCCACAACTGTCTGAAGCAGAGAGCAGCAGGGATTTAGCTAGCATTTTTCTTTTGTCACTTTTACATTCCACCCTTCTTCCCGGAGCTTCTAGGCATGGGTGTGGCTTTCTTTCCTCTTTATCTCTTTTACCACATGTTACCTGTATGAGCAGTTAGTGAGCTTCAGAGGATTTGTTTTCTCCATCTTTGGCTGAACCTGGCAATTATATCAAACTGCTCATCCTTCTGTCTCATAGTGTGATATACAGTGGTGCCTCGCAAAACGAATGTATTCTGCGAGAAGCGCTGTCTTGCAAAAAAAAAATCGTGTTGCGAGGTTCCCTGGGAACCAATGAAATTTATTCATCTTGTGAGGCATCGGCTCGGGCAAAACCCGTCTTGCGAAGCATGGCCATAGAAGAAACTGTCTTGCGAGGCACCACAGAGATCGCAAAAACCAATTGTCTTGTGGGTTTTTCATCCCGCGAGGCATTCGTCTTGTGAGGCACCACTGTACTTCTTTATTAAACATTGTATAATTGAGCTAATATAGCTCAGTGGGTTGAAGAGACTGGATACAGGGCCAGTGGTTAGTCTTACCACACCTCCCACAAGATAAGGCAGCTGAGTTCATCCAGAGTGTGTGTGACTGAGGGAATTACTTGCCCTGTCAGCTGTGCAAACTTACAACAGCTTCATGGCCTCTGAATGCCACCGGAAGGAAGGTTTTATACCTAGAAAATCCTGGAAGGGTAGTGGCAAGTCAGAAATCACTTGATAACACATTTCTGTACCTTTGAAGTTGCTTGTTGCTATAGAAGTTGTTACAGAACTACAGCTTCTATAAGGTATGTTTTCCTTTGCTGCTTTTTTAGAAACATAACATCTAGCTTATTAAAATCAACTGATTGTAACTTGCTTGTCCAAGAATAGCACTGTGGTTTCATCTTCTAAAACTGGACAAGGCTAGAATTTGTAATACAGAGGGAAAATGTGGGTAATCCATAAGATTTAGCCAACTGCTGAAAAATGGTCTTTGCAACTTGGTTATGCTAGCACATATAATCCACTGGTTTAGTTTAGGGCATCAAGCCATGACATGATGAGTTGTTTCTTTGAATTCGTGACAGGATCTATGTCACTTACACCTTGCTTCGTAATTATTTTCTGATAATATCTAATACAAGTACTTTGGTCTTGGTTCACAAATATGAATCCTTTTCAGCCTAGTTTATGCCACAGGTTCTGTATTTATAGACATTATCATCCAGGAAGTAACTCAGATGCTGCCTATATAACAGTTTCTCAAACCGTACATCCCCCATTCTGTGGGTTTTACATTAATGTAGGTTGGTTCTCATAAGTTGTTTATTATTTTCTACTATCATCTGGTGCTCCTATGAAATAGTTTCAAAGTCTGACCATTTCACCTATACAGAGACTCATGAGATTGACATGTCTGTGCTCACCCATGCTTGGTAGCAAAAAGAGGTACTCTGTACACCAGTGTTTTTGGCACCAATACTTTGACAGGAAGATTCAAATTTTCTTATTTAAATAATCAAGATCACTGTACTTCCTGTCCACAGTTCAAAAATAATATCCAGTATCATAACAGTATACTCTATTAACATATTCTTTTGGAACTGTGGACAGGAACCAACAGTTCCAAAAGAATATATTAATAGGGTATACTGAGATAATATTATGATACTGGATATTATTGTTATCATTATTGTTGGTCTTGTATTAGTAGTTGCTGTTGTTAATCTCCCATTTCCCTGGACCCATCAGCTCAGGAAGTACACACATGTTCTTGGATGGTTAAGCGCACACTGACAGGCTAGTAAATTAAATGCCCCAGTGTACGTACATGCAGCTTATTGTTGTTTTCATTCAGTGTCAGAGAGAGAGCAGTGGTACTCACAAAGTGTTAGACTGTAGCTGCTGTTTTTCATTTGGGTGGAGATGGTGATTTCTGGAGAGAAGGGCTGTTCCTCCCATTTGACTTACCTTCAATTATTCTCTGGCTCTCATGGCTGTGTTTATATACGCACCCATCAGCCCAGCTTTTGGCAGTAGACGCGGCTGTTCCATTCCATTCCTTGAAAGAAATAAAAATGAATATTTTGGTCCAGCAGCAGTGCTGATATAAGGATTTACGACAAAAGAATGCATATTATAGGTTTTGATCAACTTTAAAGCAATATGAACTAAATCCCATGTTAGTACTGGAGGAGATCCATTGAAATCAATGGGGCGTACAATAGTTCTCATTTTAAAAATCAATTTGTTTCAATAAGTTGGCTCTAGCTTGGAGCTGGACAAATGTCTGATTTTCTTCTTTGGCATCCTCATCATGAAATGGTGGGTTCACAACATGTTCCTGATACTAGCTAGCCACACTCAGTTCTTTTTATTTTACACAAGGGATTGGGAATAACACAATCCTCATCATCTGCCATGCAACCTGAATGGATACAACTCCAAGAGAACCTCATCATATATCTTTTTCTCAGTGTTCATAAGTGACTCACTGCAAATAGTTATTTCCCATCAACTATTTTCTCCCCTGACTGCTAAGGTATGAACACATTACATTACAATTGTAATTTAGCATGTGATAACGTCACTATTTCTCTAGAAGACAAATATCACTCTGTGTAAGTATTGCCTTGTGCTGTGTCTCCTGCTTTGTGGTAGGTGTTGAGGGGGATCACAGTGGAAGAGGAAGGTGCTGTGTACCACAGGCAAGTTGCTTGTAGCGTTTGAAAATTGTCACTATTTTAGTTTGTTCTGGGAAATATTCACATAATGAAACAAAGCTATATATAAGGGGAAGTCTGAAAACCAAGGCACCCAGAAGCTCAAACAAAATCTTGTGCAAATTCTTACCATCTTCAGCATGTCGGAAGCACGTGGTTCCACCTGTCTCCTGAGGTCATTGTGCTTGTCTATAATTTCATCCTGTACTGTTAGCAGATCAGTCGATAATGCGGCAAAAGCTTTATCGTGGTCCTGCCATGAAATCAACATAACATATTTTCCCCTGGATGAAATATATTTCCAAAAAAGTGCATTGAATGTAATTGAGAGCAGGCTATACCCTATTAAAAGGAAAAATTGGCCTTGGAAACATTTCTTTTTGGACTGCAATTCCCCAAACCACCCCCAGCTGATATGCCATGGCAAAGTCAAGTGGTGGAGCTGTCTGAGTTGTATTCCAGAAAAGTGACCTTTCCAGGGTCTGCACTTGAGAGGCTTAAGAGTAGAGGCTAAGAGCAAATCTGATCTTTGATCTCTTTAATAATCAAGATAACAAAATTTCTTTGTGGGGTGTGGGGTGTGGGGTGTGGGATGTGTGGTGTGTGTGTGTGTGTGTGTGTGTGTGTGTTTAAGACAAGGATATCTGTCCAGCTTCAGCCTCTCTTGGATGAAACTGATGCCCTGGATCCATTTCAGTCAGGCTTCAGGCTGCACCACGGCATGGAAATGGCATTGGACGCCCTGCTGGATGACCTAGTTAGGCAGGCCGACAGGGGCAAAATGTCCTTGCTCGTTCTCCTTGATATGAGGGGGTGCTGATAAGTATTGAGCCTTACCAGTAAAAAAATGAGCTCGGAAGCTGTAACTGCCACACTATTCTACAGATTCCCCCAGGAAGTCAATGCACTTGTGACATCTGTCCAGCAGCTTCTTAAGTCCCTGCAAATAAAATTCTTCTGACTGCTGGTGTAACCACTCATTTGCAGCATTAGTTGCCTCCAGAACACTCCCAAATCGTTGTCCCTTTAGGTGTTTTTTGAGTTTGGGGAACAGATAATAGTCAGAAGGAGCCAGGTCGGGAGAATAGGGTGGATGGGGCATCACTTGAAAGCCTAAGGATGTCAGTTTTGCCATTGTTTCACCTGCAGTGTGTGACGAGGCATTGTCATGCAACAGGATGACACCTTTGGAGAGCTTTCCTTGATGTATTTCCTTGATGTTTTGCCTCAACTTTGTCAATAACGCACAGTAATATTTTGCATTGATGGTTGACTCCTGTTGGAGGTAGTCCACCGGCAGAACTCCCTTCTTATCCCAAAGAACTGTTGCCATTTGCTTCTGCACCGACCTTTGCACTCGGAACTTTGGCCTGGGGGATCCACTGTGCCTCCATTCCTTAGACTGTTCCTTTGTCTCAGGATCGTAACAGTAGATCCATGTCTCATCACCAGTTACCAGTTTGCCCAGAAAAATCTGACTCATTTCTTGCAAAATATTCCAAAACAGCCATCAACGACTCCACACGTTTCCTCTTTGGTTCGGTTGCCAAAAGTTTGCTGCCAGCTTTCTCATTTCCAAGTCATTGTGGATAATGGCACCAACTCTTTCATGTGATATTCTCAGATATATACCAATATTTTTGACTAATATTCGGCAGTCCTCCATGATCATGTCATGGATGGCTTTCACATTTGCAGGCACAGAGACAGAAACAGGCCTTCCACTGGGTTTCTCACTTTCAACACTGAAAAGTCCAGTTTTAAAATTGACAACCCAACGTTTAACTGTTGCACATGAAGGGCCACTGCCACTCATATTTTGTGCCATTTCATCATGGATCTGCTTTGCACCTTTCCCTTGGAGAAACAGGAACTTGATTATGCTCCTGAACTGTTCTGTAGGTGCTGCCATGTTCACTTTGGACCTGAACATGAAAGATAAGTTAAAATCATAGGTAGTTGATTTTTGCACCATTGAATACAGAAAAATTGGCCAATTCACCTTGCAACTTATAGCTTCTTAGCTCAATTTTTTCTGGGAAAGGCTCAATACGTATCAGCATCCCCTCATATCTCAGCCACCTTTGATCCAGCCAACGACGGTATCCTCCTGGAGAGGCTCTCCAAGTTGGGGATTGGTAGCCTTGCTCTTGCTTCCTTCTTGGAGAGCCATCCCCAGACAGTTCGGCTTGGGGAGAATGTATCGGCCCCATGATCCCTCAATTGTGGGGTCCCGCAGGGCTCGATCATCTCCCCAATGCCATTTAATGTCTATATGAGGCCATGGGGGGGTCATCCGGAGATGTGGAGCTTCGTGTCACCAATATGCTGATGACACCCAGCTCTACATCTCATTTTTTCCATCTGCATTGGATGTCGTTCTGTCCCTTGGGCACTGCCTGGAGGCCATCCTACAATGGATGTAGTCGAATGGACTAAGGTTGAACCCGGACAAGATGGAGGTCCTGCGGGTGGGTGGCCACAATGTCAGTGGTTTGGGGAGCTCCCTCTCTTTTTTTGGGGGGGGTGACTCTCACCATAAAGAATTTGGTTCACAGTCTGGAGTCCATCTTGATCCAGTGCTTACCATGGAGACCCAGGTAGCATCTGTGGTTGGGTCTGACCATTTAAATATTTGGCAGCTACATCCCTATCTAGATGTGGAGGCGCTCACCATGCTGGTCCATGCGCTTGTAGTCTCAAGAATAGACTACTGTAATTCTCTCTATGTGGGGCTTCCTTTGAGACTGATGCGGAAGCTCCAGGTGGTCCAGAACATGGTGGCCAGGCTATTAACAGGGATGAAAATTTCATCATATTTCCCCCACCCTGGCCACCTTACACTGGCTACCTATCCGCTTCCACATCGATTTCAAGGCACTAACTATTGCATACAAAGCCCTTAATAGTTTAGGCCCTTGATACCTGGCAGAGTGGCTTCTTCTGCTCAGTTCTACCCATATCACCCGTTCCAGTCAGGATGGGCAGCTGAAGGGTCTAACTCCAAAAGAGGTCCAGTGGGGAAAAAAACAAAAAAATGGGCCTTCTGGGCAGTGGCCCCTCACCTATGGAACAACTTACCTGTAGAGATCCACCTGGCTCCCTCGCTGAGGGCCTTCAAGACTAACCTGAAGACATGGCTATACAGGCCGGCTTTCCCTACAGCTATTACCTAGCTTATCTTCCCTTCTTTCTTTTTTCTCTCTTTCTTCTTCTTCTCCTCTCTTCCTTTCCCCATCTTTGACTCTGTGATTAATTTGGATTTTACTTTAGTTTATTTTTATGTTATATGTAAATCACCCAGCGTAGACCTATTCTAGATGGGCGGTATATAAATCTAATAAATAAAATAAAATAAATAAAAACATTATATAGTTTGAATTACGTACATCAAGCAGACCCAGTTTATTTACGTCAATTGAAAGCAGCTAATAGAATGTCCATAGCCGGGAGCTGATTTGGCTCAGTATTGGTGGAGCTCCTTGGGGCCAAACATAATATAATAATTATACATTTAAAAAAGTGTTATTAGAACTGTCCATATTCATGTTTTAAGAGATCCCCTCCAAAGAGTTAACCCGTTTTTTCCTCCACCCTGTTTCCTGCTGACAGCCCTACCCCAGCTCAGCTTCTCCTTGCCACCAAAAGCACTATTCAAAGTAAAGACGATCTCCACTAGGATATAGTAGATGGCATTCAATGTCACAAGACATCCTTTCCTTTTGACATCCTGTGACCTTGCAATGTATTGTGTTTGATATTTCCATGGTTTTTGGCATCCATGGAAGGGCTTGGAACTGAGCCCCCCGCATATACCATGGTTCTATTGTACTGAGCGTTGCTTTTTTCCTTGAAAAAATCTTTTCAAATTTATATACACAGGCCATACCTCATTACCAGCACATTGATGCAGGCCAGCAATCGTTGCTAAAAGTGCCAGAAGGAGAGACATTGCTGAAAACAAACAAACAGATTATTCAATTTCCTTTTAAAAGCATCCGTGTTATCACAAGTTATCCTTTCTGAGCCTTTATAAACATTACGTTGAACTGAAAAACTCTGAGCAGGAGCAATTGTGTCCCACAAATTGGCATTGTCAAGAGGGGGTGAATGCTCTAGGTAGGTTCTGGAGGAATTTTCACTGTCTACGTAACACAGGACAAATTTAAACTCTCATCTAAGTAGAAGAATGTCTCTGGGTTTAATTTTACTTCTCCTCCACACAACAACCTAGTGTGAGAGATAAATATTCAGTGAGTAGAAGAAGCCTTTTACATGCAGAAGGACATCTTTGGACCCAATCCACAGAGTATAATTGTTTCCCATGTTCTGCGTAATGCAGTATTAATGTCATAAATGGAATATGAACTTCAAGCCAAGAAAAGTAGCCCTTACTATCTTAACATCAGGTTTATCAATTAAAACAGGAGCCAGGTGATTAATTTGGGGACCAAATTTTTGGAAATGTAACATGATACTTTTGCAGGCAATTCCGTGAAAGTACATGTGATCAGATGATAGCCATCAAGTTAAAGACATCTCTGCAGAGGTGCTTCATAAGGAGAAGCACTCATCAAGGCACGCTGCTCAGGAGTGCTTGCCATACAAATCCACAGATACAACCCAAATTTTCCCACTAACTGTCCCTGTTGTGTAGAACACAGTGACTAAGGCCAGAAACAAACCTTAGAGGTAACTCATAACTGGAAGAGGCACATTTTTAACTAATGCCTGGCTGTCAGAGTGAACTTTTCTAACTTGGGAATTATGCCATTTATGTAGCTTGCGTAGTTTGGTGTCTGGTCTTTAGGATTTAAGCGTGGGATTTCTTAGAAACCTGGTGTTGCAAACAAACCATGCCTGCCTCAATCACCTGTCTGCAACATTAACATGTTTCAGCTGTAATTAGGGGCTCTTTTTAACCTCTAGTTGTGGCCTGAGGCAAGTGATTTTAATAAGGTGAGAGGAGAAGCTGAGAGTCACACAAAACACTCCCTTCACAAACAATCACTTTTGAATACTCAAGATGTCATTTTTAAAAAGATGAGAAAGGAAGGAAAAATGTCTGAAACAAGAAAAATGGAAGAGAAACTGAAGAGAAATGGGAAGATTTTGGAAGAAATGGAAAATTACAGAGTGGAAGGGGGAGTTCCTGTCCCACCCAGCCTCCTGATGTCAATCTTTAAAAAGGAAAATTGGCAAACAAATAGAAATGGAGGATAGACATACAAAATGTAGTGAGAGTGTTGAGAGCCTCTTGAGAATACCAAACCTCTTACTTCTCCCAAGCCAATAAGGATAAAAGAAAATAGAGATTTGGAATGGAAAGGCAAAATACTGTGTTTATGGCCCCGTGCCTTTTCCTGCTCTCTCCCAGGAGTGGACACTTAACTTTTTTAAAGAGGTAATGCTGCTTGGGGTCAGTACACCAAAGCGGTCATACACAGCCACACGCGCGCGTGCATAAACACACACACATGCACGCACAGAGAGCAGATGGTCTTCGGCCATCAAACATCCTTGACAGAGAAGAGTCAAATTGTGTGTGGGCAGCATCTATCAACTTTCCATACTCAAAGTATGTATTTGATAGGTCCTGGTTTATGGAGTTAAGGGAGCTAAGCAGGACCATAGATGGATATCTGGCATGGTGGTTTTGCCACAAGCCCCCTACCCCAGCTTACAGCTTGCTTGCCTAAGGCTAAACAGACAGAGAGAAGCCAAGAGAAGGCAGATGTGAGAGAAGAATGGCACATGTGCTAATTACTCCCACAGTGTTGGGGGAGCATTTTCAAGCTGCATGCACTTAGTGAACAAGAAAGAATAAATGTGCTGCATGAAATGATAGCAAGTAGAGTAGTTAAGCCTTTCCAGGGTAGCCATAAAGATTTAGATTTACAGCAAGTGTCCAGAATACTCTCAGTCGTGATACAGCTTCCACCCATGCACAATCCACAACCCAAATGATGGTCTGCTTACAGTCATATCCTCTGGTGTGCATATTTCTTTTATCCTGTTATTTCTAGGTAGCTGAAGGCCTACAAAATCATGCAAAATCTGTGATCTAGAATAAGGAGTACCTTTAAAAAACCGTATTTCTGGCTAAAGCCTTCAATTCTCCATTGTGTTTTGATGGTCACCAGCTGTGCATGAAATGTTTTCTGTATCTTTACATCACAATAGACTGATCCTGGTTTTCCCAAGGATCTCAAACAGCAGAAGCCTTAACATGTCACTATGACTGTCCTACATAGCATGAAAATAAAGAGCTAGAAAAAAAACACCTCTTTTATAGTAACTACATTTACTCTAGGTATTTATCTGTTTGTGGAAATGACCACACTCCCTCCCCTTTTAAACATCTTCATCACAGTTACTGGGTTAGTGAAAACTTTGGATTTATTTTTATCAAATATTCTATTATTTTTACAAGTTTCAGCATGGCAGTTACATAGTTAGGAGACTCTGTCAGATCTTGAAAAGCCACCACCCCCCTTTTTTTCCCCTCTTTGACAGCTCCAGCTAGCCATGCTGGCTGAGGGGAGTCATGAGATGGTAGTGCAAACAAGCACACTAGCTCTCGTCAGAAGAAGAGCTCTTGAGAACATGAGCAGAGAACTGGAGGCATCTCACCAAACTACAAATTCCCGGATTCCATAGACTGGAGCCATGGCAGTTGAAGTGGCACCACAACTGAGAACACACCCTGATAGTCAAGCAGGAAACAGAAAGTCAGATGGCAAGATAAGGTGAGCCGAAAGAACAGTAAATTGCAAAGATGGCCACATGCTTTCAAGGTATTTAAATAACCGCAAGCTCTGGTGTTTAACATGTTCGTGAAGAGCAAATATTCAGAGGACATTGTCTTTATTTAATGTGCACAAATAGGGGGCAGATGGGGAATGTTTTCCTGAGCTATAATTTTTAAATATTGCCTTTTGATGATGTTAGAATACTTATTGTTTTCAACATGAAATATTCTCTTTCCTTGTTGTAAGCCGCCTTGAGTTCTTTTCAAGGAGAAAGGTGGGGTAAAAGTATTTAAAATAAATAATGAATAATGCAACAAGAATAGCAATGCTGATGCTCTACTTGCTGCCTTGTTCCAGAGGACAAGCTCAGATAAACGGACCTACCAACTCTCTCCCCAGTTCCTGCCTCTCACTTCTGGCTTGATGGAACACCAGTGCCATACAAGCGCAACACACATTCAAACACTTTTGCACTGAGCCAGTGAGACCTGGAGCCACCTAGGGACAGGTGGACATGGGTGGCCAGGAATTTAAAGCCACATCTATGTACAAATCAAAATTTTCCTCCTCCAGCCCTACCTGCTCTGAGATTTATGTATTTCCCCATCTGGATGCCTACAGAACAGTTAGGAAGTTGTTCCTGATATTCAACTGAAATCTGGCTTCCATTAACTTGAGCCCATTGTTGCGTGTCAGTCATTCCAGAGAGCAGTGCAACAGTGGAACCAGTTACCTTGGGAATTGGTGAGTGCTCCAACAGTGGAGGCATTCAATGATAACTTAGATCACTGGTTCTTAACCTTTGTTACTCAGATGTTTTTGGACTGCAACTCCCAGAAGCCTTCACCATCAGCTCTGCTGGCTGAGGTTTCTGGGAGTTGCAGTTCAAAAACACCTGAGTAACAAAGGTTAAGAACCACTGACTTAGATAATGATCTGGCAGATATGCTTTAATTGTATTCCTGCACTGAACAGGGGGTTGGACTTGATGGCCTTGTAGGCCCCTTCCAACTTCACTTTTCTATGATTCTATGAAGCAAAGCAATTCCTTAAGACTTCAGTTGAGGCCCTGAGACTAGACAATCTTAGAAGAGATTACCAAACATCTGGGTCCATTCTTACTATCTAAACTGCTCAAAGAACCTATCATTATTGTTGCATTGTTTTAGTTTTTGTCAGTGTTAAGATTCTGGGAAGACAATATTGGAAGCATCTGCATTTTTCTACTGTCATAGAAAATAATAATAAGTTTAAATTTTGGGTTATTTTGGTGGTTGTTCTGCAGCATTCTTAAGTAACTGCTAGTAAATCAACTGTCATGGTAAGTATCATCTTGCTCTACTGAGTGTGTACCTGCCCTACACGGTCATATCAGTCTGACATCACAACTTTAACATCCATGGCTGCATCTGGCAGAACAGCAGTGGAAACTTCAAAAGTACACATTAGTTCCAAATACAAAGCACATTTGATGATGACCTAGAAAGATGAATGGAAGCATTCATGTCTTGTCCTTTGGCCCATAAATCATTCCATTCATCCATATTATTTTTGGAATAATAATATTCTTATTAAAGTGCCGCCTGTCAAAGGTGCCAACACTCTACTCATAGGTTACACAGCTATACAATTATTGCAGATTCACTGGTTAGGATCACAGATACTCTTGAAAAAGAGTTCATAACGTAAGAAAGCCACATAAATGTTTAAGTTGCATTTTTAAATTCTCCCAGAATGGGTTTTTAAAAACAGGTTTCTTAAAACCAGATATACAAGGAGTCTTTATCCATTTTGATTTTCTTACTGTTTAGGTCTGGGAATGGTTATACTGCTGATTTGTATTAATTTCAGCTCTAGTGTATTTTAATTCAATTTTTAGTCATGTATCTTTGTGTATATTCACTTTGAAAATTATTACTCTGATGTAAAGTAAGGTCTTAAAACCACTTTACGAAACATGTCAGATTTTAAAATGTTTCATTAACCAGCAAGTAGGCAGACAGCGCAATTTCCATTGTTGTTGATCTCAGCGCATTACCAATGATTGCAACCTTCTCTTTCCTGTTTGTTCTCAATGTTATGCAGCATTTTGGGTTTCAGGCATCCTTTGGAATAGATGCATTTCTCCTTTTTTAAAAAAAATGACATAGCAGTATAATCACATTACTTCATAAACCCATCACTGCCAGCAAAGGCAGTGTTTAATAAATGTTAAGTGACATCGTGATATTACTTACAAAACCCTTGACTGTCCAAAAGGGCAACATTTAATACAACAGGCGTGTTCACATTGCACAAAGTGATTCATAATGAATCAATTTCACAAGCATGTTAAATTGAAAAGCCCTTGCTGACCCCTTAAAAAACCCTCATTTTGCAGCAAAAAAGAGCAAGTTTCACTGTGTGTTGTGTAGTTAGGATTTTTCAAATTATTTTTAATAATGCAAAACTCAATTCAAAAGTAGCTCTTATTGTCAGTGTAACCACACCCTTTGTCTCTCTCTTCTGCTTCTGTTTTTCTATTTCACTGTGCTTTTTATCTCTTTTCTCCTTTAATTATCTCCATTTCACTTCCCTGTTTCCTTCTCTTTAAAAGCATAAGTAATGCAACAAGAATAGCAATGCTGTTCTTATCAATAAAATATACAAAGATGGTGGGGCCACTGGCTTGATTCCCTCTTAGATTAGAAGAAGTCAGTTTGAGGGTCCCAAACCACAAGCTATAATCAGAAAGATAAGAGAAAAATAACTAAAATAGGAGTGTTAGAGATCAATAAAATCTAAAAGAGGAAACCTATTTAAAATGTTCTGTACAGAAACTGGATCCTTTTTGAACCTTTACAACTGGCTTGCTAATGACAAATTGTAAGCCTGTTCATTCCATACTTGGATGCAAAAGCAAAGCAACCATCCCTATGTTATACAATATGTTGCACATCCAAATTTTCACAATAGTTGGATAAAATTAAACTGGCTCACTATATTTCTATGTATTCTAGAGCAATCAATAGTTTGGATTTTTCCATCCAATTGTTGCATCCAATAGTTTAGATTTTTCCATCCAACAGTTGCATTTTTAGAACTGAAAACTGAAATCCAACAACCCAGTTATGAATTACTTTGTCCTACTTTTTTTCAGAAATCCAAAAGATTGGTTGACATAAATATAACCAATATTTCAAAGCTGTGAACAGGTCCTTAACATCCGTGTTAACTAGAAGTTGAGATTTCCTAATGTCATTTTCGAGAATATCTCTGGCATGCCAACTAAGTACATTTGGAAAATCTCATTCTTAACATTTGTGTATTTCACCTTTCCTGTTCTTTAAAAGGACATTGATACTCCTACATCATTAACCTGCACTAACATGTACTTTTAAAACTGAGATTAATTAGATGACATTTTCTGTAACATATAATTAGTTATGACTTCTAGCTCTTATCCCTACTGTGGCAAAGCAAAAATATGTCCTTCTAAGAATCACTGAGGCAGACACTCTCTCAATAGGAAACTGTACCTTTTGACAGTGGGTATACGTTCAGAAGAGGGTATTTTCAGGAGATAACTTTCCTAGGCTCCACCAATGGCAGACTGATGGTCACAGCAAAACGGCAGAAGTAGAAGAACCCACCAGATGGGCTGAACAGTTCTTTATATATTTTGGTGCAACCTCCTCTTCATGCCAAAAGAAGCGCTTGTTCTTGGCATTGTGTGTGTGGCATTTATTTAAGTTCCTGGTCATGGAGCTCATCTTGGCTTACTGTCAGCAAAAAAAAAATTTGAGTACACTTCTAAACCATAGTAATCCATCTACCAGCTTTCAGGAGCAAAGTAAATCCTCAAACAACCACTTTTATTTTGGATTTGCATTTGCCCATCGTGAAGCATGGGTTTTCTGACAAATTGCTTGCCTCAAGTAAGCTCAGGAACACTGTGCAAATACATATGTTTTTGAAAGTCTGAATCATTTGAAGGGAGCATGTACGCAACCTCCTCACCCCCACAGTCCATGAATTGCAACCACCTATAGATCCCCTTGTATCTCACATACCCATTTCTCTTCTTATTTGCAGCCTTCCCTAACTTGAATCTTTCCAAATTGTTGTGGCTCCCAGTTCCATCATCCTGACTACTCACTATGCTGGCAGTGGTTGATGGGATTTGTAACTGAAACCCTTTGGACAGAGCAAGATTAGGAAAAACGCAAACATTGAGAAACAAACATGTGACTGTGACCACTGCAATTAACCAGGATTAATACATAGGATGACTCAAGTTGACATAATGAAGCAAGCAGGACACATCTTACCATTGTCTGATCCACCACAGGTATAGAAGAAGAGAAAATCTGGAACTCAAGGAGTAGTTGAGCCTACTGGTGCCAACATCGCCCCCGGTGGCAGCTACAACTGCAATGAACCATTGGGAATGGGTATGGTGAATGGGACAGATGATTTAATCTCAGACAACAACATCTATTTATATTGCATGGCTCAATCCCATTCTGGGATTGTAGGATTTGCAGACATGGGACCTTGACAATTTGTACATCCCAAACAAAAATGAAGTGGAACATTCTGGAACATAAAAAGTTGATTGATATCATCAAACCACAGTCCATCAAGCTCACTAGTTGGAAAATTTGGGCTGAGAGGCCAAAATCCTCTTTAGGGAAATCTTGGCACAGCAATGGGTAGGGCTTGCCAAGGAGAACGTAGGCAATACTTAAACAAAGTGGTTGAAGCCAGGTGTCATTTTTCACCAGTCTGGACATTTTCCCACCAAGCATAGAAAAGACAGCTCAGTTCCATGCAACAGCTTTACTATCTCGACAGTACCTACTGAGCACAGCTGTCTTCCATGTAGTTGAAGAATGAAGTTTTCTGCCTGCAAAGCACAGTTCAATTCTATGCAGAGTATTTTAAATCAAAGTACTGTCCTTTAAGTTAATAGCAGAAGAAGAGTGCCATGGTAAGGCGATCCTCACATATCAGAGGCTCCCCATTCCTAATGTTGGCTTGTTTTGTTTACGCTGGGCTTCAGAGCTTCAGCTATAGTTGAGAAAATACCCTTCTGTGTTCTTCTGTTAGCTCTGAGATGTAATCTGTACTCAATATTCTACCCCAAAACAGACACCCACTTGAAAACACAGTTTATTATTTTATAGCCTAAAGACCACAGAAATAAACTGCTGATCTTATAATGGGTAATAAATATGCATCATACCAAATATATGATTTGACTAACATTATTAATTATTACAATAGTTTTGGAACTGCAGAGGTGGAAGGGACCCTATGGGTCATCAAGTCCAACCCCTGTCAAGGAGACAAGGGGGATTGAACTTCCAACCTCTGGCTCTGCAGCCAAATGTCCAAACCATTGAGCTATGCAGTGGTTCTTGACAGAAGGATTGTGTTAACATTAATAGTTTTGCTACACACCAGTGTTAATTGTGGCAGATGTTACTCCTTGCACCCAGCTCACTGATTCCATGTACACTGAGCCCCTTAACCTGAGCCTCTAAGATTATACCCCATGGCTATCGCTAGTCCCAGCCAGAGTAATCCCTCTGGCTCAATGGGATTTCAATGTGTCAACTCACAATTCAGTAATTCATTTAGTGTGTCTACTTTTAGCTGGGACTAGTATTAGGATACAATCCTATGTATCTGTGATAGTGGACTTCTTACACAAAACTTTATGCTGTAATAAATCTGTTAGGGCTAAATCCAGTGGTTAACCACAATAAAATTAAATGTTGCTTAGTTAACAATACCATTGACACTATATATCTATGTTAATCAGGATCAATACTCATTGTTCATCCTCGTCTTAGAGATTGTCCATGCCATGGTGTTGTCCTTGATTATTTTGAGGTTTTGCTGTCTTCTTTTGGTATTTTTCTCTTTTCTTTTCTTTTCATTGTTTGTTACTGTTCTTTCTTGTTATTTTGCTGATGATGATGCTGTTCTTGTTTGCCCACTCCTTTTGTCTACCAATTGCTTTCCCTTTTGCCTATCTTTTCTACCCTCACTCCATACTTCCTCCTCTCACATACTTTACCCAGCCAATATTTTAGACTTTCTTGTTTCTATCTATGAATCTATTTCACTATATGAATTTGGAGTGGTTTCCCAAAGGAAGAAACAGCTGACATCCCAAAAAAACTAAACAGGAATAGCAGTGAAGAGAGGAGGAAACGAACCAGCCCAAGCACACCTACTAAGTGGATGGATCCGCATGGAAAATGCATTACTGGGGTCCAGCTAAGCAGATCATACAAAACAGACTAAAATTACACAATCATTTAAAGGTGATGTAAGGGAAAAAAGAAAATAAAACCTTTTTTTTTTCTTTCTTTGACACTGGCTTCAGCCCTGCATGGTGTGGACACCAGAATGCTGTCTGTCTGTCTGTCTGTCTGTCTGTCTGTCTGTCTGTCTGTCTGTCTGTCTGTCTGTCTGTCTGTCTGTCTGTTTGTTGCCCCATTAGTGTTGCCACTCTTTGGACAGTATACAATATACAATAAAATCATATCAACTCAATATAACAGCAAAAAATACAATAAAATATAATTAAACTTTACTTTAAATAAATACACAGATTAATACCCATTCAGCCAATTCAGACAAATTTGTACTAGTAGAAAGTAGCTTTGTATAATTCAGACTTAAATGGCTTTCTAGAAAGAGAGAGGGATGGTGCCTAGCGAACCTCTACAAGAAACTTGTTCCAGAGGAAAGGTCTCATGACCAAGAATGTTAGCTGTTTTTGCCTCTTTTGATGTTTCAGTTCTTAACATCAAGGACTGCAAGGAGTATGTGAGATGAGTAGCTATTTTTTCAGAGAGACATTCTGCCTACTATCAAGGTCCTAAACCATTTATGGCTTTATAGGTTAAGACCAACACCTTAAATTGAGTAATGATATCATGGATTCCCAATGTGGTATAGTGAAGAGGGTGGTGGACTAGGACCCTGGAGAACACAGTTCAGATCCCAACTTGGCCATGGAAACAAAATGGGGAAGTGGAACTGGTAAAGCCACTCCTTAAACCTCTCACCTTGAAAGCCCTATTAGGGTTGCAATAAGTCAGTTCCGATGTGATGGGACCGAACGCACACACATCATGGATACAAGTGAAGTTAAACAAATACTCATGGCTTAAGGGGTGTTATATATGCAACCCATTATTTTAATACTTTCTCTGCAGAAGACTGACACAGCTGCCTCCTTGAAAACTATGCCAAATGAAGTTGGACAGAGGATAGAGGAAAGGACAAGGATTTACAAATATTAGCATTGCTTCATTGCTCCAAACAATCCTTAATGAATGTGCTAGTGAATAGTATATTTATCTTAAAGACCTGTGTGAGGGGCTTTAGTGCACAAATATTCAGCTCCATTCCTTAAAGGAACAATTATTTTGTTGACATAACCTTTAATCAGATTATTTACATTAGTGTTAAATAACTAAAGATTCCATTCAAACTTTCAAGTAGGATTCTGATCAGCAGTGGATTTTGCAAAAACAATAAAGGATTCTTGAAGTATCTTAAATTTAAAGATGGGCCAATATGTTGTGAATTGAAGTTTTGTGTAGGACCTACTTTCCCATGTACCTGAAGTATTATCCTTGGTTGACAGATGGATACAGAGAGAAGAATTATAGACTGAGAGAGTGGGGGCAAAGGTTTAAGTACTTCTGACATTTTAATGCAAAGCTCGAAAGCAAACAAAAAAGGCAGCAGGAGAACTTGGTCATAACAAAGCCTTCCTCAGCTTTGCTGTGTTAGCAACAGGGAATTATAATGAAGGGTGGATAATAAAAATTTAAGTAAAACAGCTTAAGGAATATAGTGAATGCTTTCCTGAAAGGTCACTGTGCTTACTTTGGACGGATTTGAAATTTGCATTAAAATGCTAGAGCATTTAAGCTCTGTTCATTAGTTCAGTAACTGGGTGGACTAAATATATGAATAGGGAACATGGATATTTCCTGCCCCTCCACCATCACTTAGATGGGACGTGGTGGCGCTGTGGGCTAAACCGCAGAAGCCTGTGCTGCAGGGTCAGAAGACCAAGCAGTCGTAAGATCGAATCCACGTGACGGAGTGAGCACCCGTCGCTTGTCCCAGCTCCTGCCAACCTAGCAGTTTGAAAGCATGCAAATGCAAGTAGATAAATAGCGACCACCTCGGTGGGAAAGTAACAGCGTTCTGTGTCTAAGTCGCACTGGCCATGTGACCATGGAAGATTGTCTTCAGACAAACGCTGGCTCTATGGCTTGGAAACGGGGATGAGCACCGCCCCCTAGAGTCGAACACGACTGGACAAAAAATTGTCAAGGGGAACCTTTACCTTTACCTTACCACCATCACTTTGCCTGTGTAAAGTAACAGGTTGGTTTTTTCCATTTTCTGGCTTTCATGGAGAACCTTCATGGACTGATCTGGAACAACTGGCAATTGGACTTCTTTCTTGTTAGGTTGAAATGTTTTGCTACTCATCCAAGTAGCTTCTTCAGTCTGTGGTCCTAATCTTTCTGGGGACAAAGGGAAGGGCAGCATGATAAGTAGGAGACAGATAGGACAAGGCAATGTCCCGACCCAGGAGGACAATGGAACAGTCTGAGACCCAGACCCGACAGAAAAACCTGGTCATTCCCTACA